GTGGAATGATTCTGCTGTGCACCTGCAGGAAGATACAATCTTAATTAGTTTTACAAAAACAGTTAATTGTATTATAGAAAAGCCAAATGTTACCTAATGAGTTGGACCATCTAAGAATGAAATAATCTTTAGGCCTAGGTAAAAATGAATGTTGCACTAAAACTATTTGCACTGACCAGCTGTGAAAGCTAGATAAATAAGGCAAATTATCATAAATCAGTTTAAGAATGATTACAATAGAAAATGTGAATAATAAAAACGATAATATAGGGCTGGAGAGATGGCTCAGTAGAATAAGTGCTTCTCTGGAAAGCACAAGGACTTGAGTTCAATCCCCATTTCTGAAAAAAGAAAAAATAATAATAATATGAATTTTTTTCCACTAAATGGTTTTCAAATTTATAACCTTGGTGTGAAGTAATATTTAGTTATTTATTTTTTTACATTTAACTGTCCTTGCTTCTGATAGTTTCTTTTTTATTTTTTTAAAGAATACAAAATGGTAAGAAAAGAAAAAATCATCTCCTTAGAAATAATGCAGAATTTCACTAAGCAAAATAATAGGAATTCAATAATGGTTGCTATATTACATAGTGTTGTCTTTAAATTAGTTGTTTAGCTTAACAGATATAAATATGCAAAATTCATAAAAGGAAAAGGTATAAGAAATTAAAAAGAAGAAAAAATTAAGCATTAGCTGCTCCTTTCAATATACACACATAAACCAGCTGTACAGTTATCTAAGCTATCCCATAAATATATATAAATATCTTTTTCCTTTCTTTCTTTTGACCTCTGACTATTTCTAATCTATTCCTTTACATGTAAACATAATTCCTTCAAGGAACTGGAATGGAAAATTCTTTGACATAGTTTAGGCAAATTACCTGGCTAATACACTCCTTAGTTCTACTTGGCTTATGGTGGAAGGTATGCAGTTGCGCACTTTGGTCTCAACAGAATTACCAACTGCAGGCTTTAGTGTAAGCTAAGCTCTGTATTGGACCTGCCTAAGCAATCAGAGAAGAAGCCCTTGGAGCTGACCTGGGCTGCATGTCTGAATTACTGAGATACTTGTATTGAGTCACAGTCTTCTCATACAAAATAAGGAATTGTTAGGCACATGTCAGATCAAAATATCAGCCTACAAACTTAAGTTGTTAACCCTTCAGAAGAGAAGCTTAATGATATTATTTTAATACAAGTCAGTGGCAACTACTTTAAAATTCACAGAGTTTACAATCTAAAGTTAATTCTTAGGCAGTTAAAAAAAAGTGTGATGCCAATACTACTACTCTCCTTTTTCTCCTTGATGATTTCCAAGCAGTTACAAAGTTTCTATATATCTATGAACTTTATTAATTGTAGAAAAATTTAAATTTTGTTTTATGTAAACTGACTTTATTAATGTAGTCAAACTTATTTTCATAGCACATATTAATAAATATCATGTGCATTTTAAAAGTGCGATGAAAATGTGCCTTGAAAGTCTAAATGATTCATAAACTACAACACATATATTTGTACACATTTTCCAATACCAAAATACAATAAAAACAAATTTGCAATTAAATTTACATCAATTTCCTATAAAAATTGAATTGTAAAATTCTTGATCATGTCCATCAATTAATTTGTAAAATTAAGTAATGCAACAGTACTGTAGGAAATCAGTGTTATGAAACAGGTATAAACTGCAATAATTCAGAGAAGTAGCAAAGCTTAGCTCTATAGTTAATGTTTTCCTAATACAATGACTGATTTTTAAGCCCCAAAACATTGTGGTGCTTCAAAGAAATGGAGCAAAAAACTTTGGTGGACTCTGGGAAGCCTGCGGGACTCTGGGAAGCTCTGACCTTTCATAGCCCCCAGTGTGCAGTTTTGGAGTTTCTGTGAGGACCAGTCTAAACTTTTAAGAACTTAGGAGAACTCAGTGACCTGCAGGATTTAAAAAGGTTCAATCTGTGAGCCCATCACAAGCAGGCATGGAGCTTCCCTGGAGCTATTTAAGAACTTTGGCAGACTCTGGGTGGCCTGTGCAACTCTGTCAGAGTGATTACTGGGAACTTCAAAAATGCCAAAACACAAAAGCAAAAGGTAATTTCAATCATATAGCCCACCCAGAGCAAATCTAAGAGACAAAGACATACAAGATTTTGGAAACCACAAAACTTAAATGTCTGAAATGATAGCAACTGAATTAAGGGAAAAATTCCATCAGGCTACAAAAGAAATAAGACCTGAAATAATCTTGTAAATTCAAATTGAAAGGACAATAACTGTGAAAGAATTGCTCAGCAGAGATAAAAAAAAAAGACATAGGTACAAAAATAGAGAATATAAAAATGATGGAAACACTGAATGAACAATACAAAAAAGAATTAGAATGTATGAAACAGATTCAAACAGCTATCTGGGAAATTAAGAACTGAACTGAGGGGCTAGGGAGATAGCTCAGTAGAATAAGCGCTTCCCTGGCAAACACAAGGGTCTGAGTTCAATCCCCGGTTCTGCAAAAAAAAAAAAAAAAGAAAAGAAAAGAAAAGAAAAGAAAAAAGAACTGAATTGAAAGCTGGTAAAGGTACCTGGATCAAACTGAAGATAGACTTTCAGATATCAAAGACAGTGTTGCAGCTAATGAACATGAAATTAAAAAAATCTCTTAAAACTAATAAAAAGGGCCAATGAGATAGGTCAGCAGACTAAACATCTGCTTAGGCAAGTGCAGGGACCAGGGTTCCATCCCTGCACCACATGCTACACAGGCTCTGCCTTCAGGTGAGCTGATCCTGCCACTTAGACCAGGCATGGTGAATCATGCATGTAGGAGAGGTTCAAAAACAAAAGGATCACTATGAGTCCGAGCTGCATAGTGAGACCCTGTACCAAATACATTAAAAAAATCAGCAAGGAACCAGGAAATAACAGTTTAGCAGCTACAAGATGATGCAAAGAAAAATAATATAAGAATAATAGGTGTCAGTGAAGCAGTGGACGGCAGCATAAATGACATAGAAAGACTATTTCCATAAGTACCAACAGAGAATTTACCAAACATGTGAAAAGAAACTGACATACAGATGAGCAAAGCATATAGAACTCCACACAGTCATAAGTACAATAAATCTATATCTAGACACATAATAACCAATATCTCAGAAATTCAGCAAAAGAATAGAATATTAAAAACTGTTAGAGAAAAGAAACAGATCATCTACAATGCAAAGCCCATAAAAATATTGTCAGATTTCTCAACGCAAACAATCAAATCAAGAAGAGCTTAGAGTAAGGTATTTCAGGAATACATCACTGAAAGAAAATAACTTCCAACCCAGATTGAAGCACCCTGACAAAGAATAATTGAAGAAATTCATGATCAACAAACCAACCCTACAAAGACATTGTGGAAAGAGGTAGAAATGACCACAGCTTCAAGAAGAACATAAAGGTACCACCAAACAGAGGAAGTAATTAAAAAGAAGGGAAAAGCATGGAACCTATAACAGGAAAATAACATGACAAAGAAAAGTCAGTACCCATCACTTATAACCATCAATGTAAATGACCTCAATTCACCATTCAAAAGAAACAGATTAGCAAAGTAAATTAAGAAACAAAATCCAACAATATCCTGCATACAAGAAACACATTTAAGGAAATTCACAGACTAAAAGTCAAGTGATGGAATACAATTCTCCATGTCAGAGCAAATCAGAAAAAGTCAGGAATAGTTATCCTGGTGGCTGAAAATATTAACTTCAAGCAAAAACCCATCTAAAGAGATAAAGAAGGACACAGCATACTTGTTAAGGGAAAACTGCAAGATGAGGAGATAACAATTATAAATTTATTCACCCAATGTAGGATCACCTACCTACATAAGACAAATTTTAACAAACATGAAAGATAAAATAAACAATAATAAAATAATAACGGGGAACTTGAACACACCACTGCCACAAAGAGATAAATCAACTAGACAAAAAATCAGCAGAGAAATAACATGACTAAACCAAACGTGAAGAAATTGTCTTGGTAGAACTTTACAGAGGGGCTGGAGAGATGGCTCAGTGGTCTAAGGCACCTACTTGGAACAAGCTTGGCAAAGCATCAGGGACCACGGTTCGATCCCCAGCACCACATGCCAGCCAGCCCCGCCCCCTGGTGGTCTGAGCTGGCCACACACACACACCACTCTCTCTCTCTCTCTCTCTCTCTCTCTCTCTCTCTCTCTCTCTCTCAAATAAATAAAAATAAAAAAAAGAATAAAAAAGAACTTTACAGAGCATTTCACTCATCAACAATGGGATACACATTCTTCTCAGCTGCTCATGGGACATTCTCCAAAATAGATGATATACTAGCACATAGAGTGCTCTTACATAAATTCAAATCAATTGAAATTATCCATGCATACTCTCTGATCACAGTACAATAAAACTAGAAATTATTGACAAAACAAGCAACAAAAACACCAGAAAAACATGGAAATTAAATAACAACTTCCTGAACAACCAGTGGATCACAGATGAAATTAAAGAAGAAATATTAAAAAAATATTTAAAGTCAAAATGAAGATGCAAATACATCTTACCAAAACCTGTGGGATGAAATTAAAGCTGTCTTAAGAGGAAAATTTATAGTGGTAATTTGCATATTAAGAAAACAGAACAAGCCCAAATAAAAGATCTTCTGCTGCACCTCAAACTTCTTGACAAAGAGCAAGTCAAGCCCAAACTTCAAAAAGGGTAGGAAATTAAAGGTTAGAGCAAAAATTGATGCATTGCAGATGAAGAAAACAATACAAAGAATAAATGAATCAAAGAGTTTGTTCTTCAAAAACTAAGTAAAATTGATAATAAAAAAGAAAAGATAAAACACAAATAAAAAAGAAAAGATAAAACACAAATTCATGCAATAAAGGATGCAGAGGGTGAAATCACTATAGACTAGATAAATTCAGAAGATTATCAATACCTACTTCCAAAATCTTCACTCCCACAGGAATTAAAACACAGGAGAGTAGGTGGTAATGCCTTAACTATATGTGTGTTGGCAGGCCTGAGGGCATCTTCCATTCTTGTCAAGGGGAATGCTTATCTTCTCTTATTTCACACAACATGGAAAACACAGAGGAAAGGACAGTTTCATATATATATATATATGAAATGCCAAGGCTGAGTCCAGAAGATATACAAACTCTGAATACCAAGAAAGAAAATTGAAAATGTAATTTTAAAAAAATCCTACCAACAAAGAAAAGCCAATGTCTTGATGGATTCACAGCAGAATTCTACAAGAAATTTAGAGAAAATTTAATGCCAATTTTTCTCAAACTCTTCAATGATATTGAAAGCGAAGTGATTCTCCCAAATTCATTCCTGGAGGCAAGTATTGCTTTAATTTCAAAACCAGAGAAAGATCCAACCAAAAAAAGAGAATTACAGGACAGGTTCTCTAATGAATATAGATGCAAAAATCCTCAAAAAATACTAGAAAACAGAATGCAGCAAATCATCAAGAAGATTACACATCATGATCAAGTGGGATTCATTCCAGGATGCAAGGATAGTTCAACATACACAAATACATAGTGTAATACATCATATCAATAGAACCAAGAACAAACCACATAGTCATCTCAATAGATGAGTGTTTAACAATCATTCATGATTAAAACCCTATACAAAATTTGAATAGATGGTCTGCATCTCAACTTGATAAAAGCCAACTATGAGAAACCAATAGCCAACATCACACTAAATGGGCACAAACTAAAGGCCTTCACTTTAAAAAAAAAAAAAAGGAACAAGACAAGGATGACGACTGTCTTCACTCCTATTCAATATAGTTCTGGAAACATAAGGAAATAAAAGGAATAAGTATTGTAAAAGAAGACGTGAAATTATTAATATTCAAACATGATGATATGATACTCTACATAGAGGACCACAAAAACTCCATCAAAAGTCTTATAGATTTAGTCACCAAAATCAGCAACATAGCTGAATACAAAGTAAACACCCAAAATCAGTATCATTTTGTACAAAAACAATGAACACACTGAAAGAGAAATTAGAGAGGCCATGCCTTGCACATTAACATCTCAAAAAAAATGAAATGCCTAAGAATTAATGTTGCAGGGGACATAAAATATTTATGCAGTGAAAATTACAGTACTCTGAGAGAAGAAATCAAAGAGGATTTGACAAAAATGGGAAAATATTCCATGATCCTGGATAGGAAGATCCAATATTGTGAAAATGGCCATATTCCCAAAAATGTTATGCAAATTTAATGCAATCCCAATTAAAATGCCATTATTATACTTCAGAGTTAGAGAAAACTTTCTTTAAATTCATTTGGAACCAGAAGAGACCAAGAATATCAAAAGTAATGCTGAGAAACAAATGAAAGGCAACAGGTATCACAATCTCTGACCTGAAATTATACTATAAGGCCCTGTGATAAAATCAGCATGGTACTGGCATAGAGACACATGTGAGGATCAATGGAACAGATTGCAAGATGCAAACACAACTGCAAACACACTCAGCCACCATATCTTTGATAAAGGGGCTAAACATGCTCACTGGAAGCAAGACAGACTCTTTAACAAATGGTGTTGGAAAAACTGGCTTTCCACATGCCAAAAGCTAAAACTAAACACATGTCTATCATCATGCACAAAGCTACAGTCAAAATGGATCAAAGATTTAAATATTAAGACAGAAACACTAAATCTTCTTGCCAAAAATATAGGTGGAATTATTATTATTATTATTATTATTATTATTATTATTATTATTTTGCTGAACTGGGGATTGAACTCAGACCCTTGCGCTTGCCAGGGAAGTGCTTATTCTATTGAGCCATCTCCCTAGCCCCTTGTAGGTAGAATTCTTAAAGATATAGGGGTAGGTAGAGAGTTCATGAACAAAAACCAAACTGCATGGGAAATACTTCAAAGAATCAACTAGGATCTCATTTTTAAGAGAATTTTCTTCACTTCAAAGAAAATGTCCAACAGAGTGCAAAAGAAAACCCACAAACTAGGAACAATATTATAACTGACAGTCCCTCAGACAAAAGCCTTCTATCTAGAATACATAAATAATTTTAAAAATTAACCCCCCCCAAACTCAAAAACCCAATCTAAACATGGGTGTCTGAGATGAACATACACTTCTTACAGGAAAAAATACAATGGCAAGTAAATATATGAAAAAAAAAATTTCAACATTAGTGGTCGTTCAAGAAATGCAAATTAAAACAACACTGAGATTCCATCTTACTCCCAGAAGAATGGCTAACTTCAAGGAGGCAGCCAATAACAAATGCTGGAGAGGCTGTGGAAAAATAGGAACCATTCTGCCCTGTTGGTGGGAGAGCAAACTGACACAATCAGTATGGAGATTCCTTCAAAAGCTAGCACTGGAGGTCCATTCAAGCCAGTTTATTCTCCTCTTGGGTATTTTTCTAGAAGAACTGAAAACCTCATACAACAGTGATATAAGTGCATCCATGATTACAGCAGTGAAATTTGTCATAGCTAAAGTGTGGAAATAACCCATATATCCATTAATTGAACAATGGATAAAGAATATGTGGTATTTTTACACAATTGAGTATTACTGAGCTATAAAACAGGATAAAATTCAGTCTTTTGTTGGTAAGTGGATACAACTAAAGCACATACTCTTAAGTGAAATAAATCACACCCACATGTGCAAACATTATATTATCTCTTTAGTGTAAGAACCTCAAAGAGAAAAATGGAATCTGAAGGTTACAATACACACTGGAAAAAGGTAATAACTTTTTCAAAAGAAAAGAGTGACTGAGTTGAGGAGAAAAACAGGAGAGAGAATGGGGGAAAGAGATTTATCCATGTATGTAAGCAGGATAGGTTTTGACAACCATAACGTGCATTTCTTCTCATACATGGAAAGAAGAACTTCATGATTATATTTGTTTCATCTTTTTTCAATTGTTTGCAATTTTTGACTTCTTAATTTCTTTTACACTTCTTTTTTTCTTTCATCTTCCAATGTAACATGCATATAGCTGGTATATAAATAACTGGTTGAAAGACAACACTATGTATTACAACAAATGCTGCAAAATTCATATTACTTTGTTAAGTGAAATTCTGTATCACTTGTAAATTTTTATTTTAATTCAATTTTTCTCTCTTTTTTTGTATTTTAGGGAAGAGCATATAGGGTGTTCAGGGTCTCACTACTAGATCAGACTTATAGTGATCCTCCTGTTTACAGCCTCCCAAGAGCTAGGATTATAGGCTTGCGCCACCACATCCAATCTCAATTGCAATCTCAGTGCCCCAGGGGCAGGGCCAGCATGGCAGGCCCAGGGATCAAATTCCTGGCCCCCATGCATGCTTACAGACACTTTAATCCTCTGATCTATTTGACCAATCTACTCTTTAAAAAATAAAAAAAATAAATGAACCTGAGCCAACAGAAAAAGAAGGACAATTTTAAGGAATTTGCTTATGTGATTTTGTACACTGGGAAATCCAAACTTTATAGGGAAGTCTACAAATTTTATACTTAAAATTTTTGCAACTTCCTGTCAAGATTTATGAAAGCTTTCTTTGTGTAGTTTCAGCAAAATCAAAGCAGAGGAAAATACTGACATTAATAAGAAAGAGATAGCAGGATTTTTTGACTGATGAGATAACTGAAATGTAGTAGCTGAATGAGGATTTCACAAAATTCACTTAACAAAAAACCGGAGAAATGCTTCAAGCTAAGAAAAGATACGGTGAGGTGCACACATACAAATGTTCCACATATTTAAGAATACATCTTGAAGAATAGCAGAAGTACAAAGCAGACCTTCATTTGTGAATTTAGAGCACAGAGGACTTTGAGTTCCAGGATTAACGCGGTAAGACTTTATCATATGCAAGAGAGGTCCAACCGTACTTTTTTGAGATGAAAAATCCCAAAAGCATGCTTGGGTAATATAAGAGAAAAGTTAAAACTACATAGAACTTCAGAGTGTGGTTTCTTTTTTTTCCATAATTTTATTGATAAACAAATAGCAATGAGACAGTTTCAAATCAAATTGGGAGGACAGTTTCAATAATTAAAACATTGCATGCATTCTTCCTAGGGGTTAATTGCTGTACAAGATGCGGACATGAAATGCTATTTATAAACACCATTAGAACAAATCACTCCATTCATTAAGAGAATGTAACTATATATCAATCCTAACAACTTTGAATACACAGACGCAAAATGGACATACATCTGTATACCCTTTTTTATCAAGTTCAGTTATTCCATTATTTGTGGTTTCTTTTTTTTATTTTCTCAAAGTTTTATTGATAAACAGATAGCAATGAGACAGTTTCAAATCCAATCGGGAGTACAGTTTCAACAAATAATACACTGCATATATTTTTCTCAGTGGTTAATTGCTGTACGAGAAGATCAAGACTTGTGATCATATTTACAAACACTATTAGAATAAATCATTCTATTCATTAAGAGAATGCAACTATATATCTATCCTAACCACTTGGAACACACAGATACAAAATGGACATTCATCGGTATACCTCATTTTTTCTAAGTTCCGTTACTGAACATTATAGGTGTGTAAACTCAGCAAAATATTCTAAAAGAGTCCAGTAGCCCATAATAGCATTGGATCTTCTGTTTAACTGGCAATGTCAGAAATTATTGACCTGAGTCCCCCACAGCTCAACAAAACAGGATGGC